CTTTAGTTCTTTCCATAGATTTTCTGTTGGATTCAGGTCAGGTGATTGGCTGGGCCATTCCAGCAGCTTTAGTTTCTCATTCCACATTATTACAAATAACTTCATTTCTGGACATTTATGGTTTGATTTCTTTGTATGTATGGATCACTTGGGTTGTTACCGACATCTGGTGAAAATTTCATGTCATTAGAACAGGGGTGCCCAAACATTTTCACTGAGAGGGCCAAAATTAAAAGCAATCTGAGGGTCGCGGGCCAAATGCAATAATATAAGGAATGCAAATAGTTCTTACATAAACTTGTTTTATTTTTACGATTAAGCTAGGAGCTAGTGTGGTTGCCTACATTTTTTTAGCCCATGGACATGGACAAAATTCAATGTATGCAAAGTCAATGCAATGTCAGCAAAGGCTCATGAAACTATTCATAATTTAAAAATTGGGTATATGGGGTCTWTTAAGGTGTGCAAATCTAGATATGGGCTTAAATCTAATCTAAATGTCTCTTGTAGTTACTTGAATTTTATATTCAGTCTGAACATAATTACAATCTAATAACCAGGACAGCTGTTGGTGGGCCAAATCAAATGGTTTGGTGGGCCAATTTTGGCCCGCGGGCCCCACTTTGGGCACCTCTGCATTAGAACCTCTAGTAATATATTTCCTGAGAAAAATGTTGACGTGTTCAATACTTATTTTACCCGCTGTATTTACTCAGCTTCAGATCCAAATAGGAATCTAAACCTTGTAAGAACTTTTTTATTTAAATTAAAATAATGCAACAAAGGGCTGGGCAGAATGACCTCAAATTCATATCACTGTATAAATTGAATCCCTTCATGGTAACAATATATATCGCAGTAGAAAATTATCATAAAAAAGCAAAGATAATGTAATTTTTAGAGCATTTATTTTGCAGAAAACCTTAATCATAATCAAACCCAGCATTTTTGCTGTAGTGCAAATAAACATAAGTACAAAGGAATGTTTTATATGTATTGCAAAACATTTTCAACAACAAACAAAAACATTTCTCAAATTTTCAACAATATCAAAATAAAGTCGATGTTATAACCAGTACTTCAAGTAAAATTAGTCATTTAGACATAAAAAATTCTAAGATGGCATAAGTTGACTAAAATGTTATCGTGTGACAGGACCTAAAGGGGCTTAAGCTGCACACAGTCCTGTCATAAAACAATTTCAGATACCTAGAATGTAAACGGGGTGAAGCCAAATAAATGTAATATCTGCCTGCCATATATGAGCTTCTGCCTGCTGAACTTATCGGCTGCTGCTCTGCTGCGCTCTCAGAGCAGAAGCACATGTTACATTAGCAAGATGGATTTATGACTGAACAAATGTCCACGTCTTTTCGTCGTCTCTGTAAAAAACACTTATTTTTTTCGCCGACAGCTTGGGTGTGAAAAAACTACGGTTGTTAAAGCTTCACTCTGCGTGACGAGCGGGAGGGAGGAAATGATCCCTCGACACGACGAAACTTTTCTACAGTGGGAGGCGGAAATTTTGTGGATTTACTCTCTATACGTGTTTTAAAACATTATATTTCTTCATTAAATATCAAACTCCTCTTGTTCAGTTGTCTCTGCACTCGCAGCCCTGTTGACACAGGAGTGATGACGTAACTGATGACAGGAAGGTAGAGGGTAAATCTCTACCGTAGGCCAACTTCATATTGTTTCTACCGTGTATCGCATACACCGCATAGCCATAATGCAACATTATTTTCACAATTTGATTGTTGGTCAAATTCAAGAAGAAAAAAAACAACTTTTTTTTAGTAAAATATGTCTTTAAAAAGTGTACTTTAACTGTATGATAAAACGTTAGATTAGGTTTCAAAGGTTAATCACTTGTAAAGGTACATACTGACTATTTCTTGGTGGTTAATCCAGCAGTGGTGAGGTTGTAATCTGTGAGGTAAAACAGTCTCACTCTGAAACTTTAGTGTTTCAGCTTTAAGTGTTTATTTTATTTTTTTACTCCAAACACTGTGGTGGTAAAGGCATCACAAACATAACCTCTCTGACAGTGACAGGCATATTTAAATATATGACAACAGGAGCTTATTGAAGTTGGTTAAACTGTAGGTGAATAATTACTTTAATATTCCATTGAATTCTGAAGAAAGCATGGCAAATCCATTTAAACAAAAAATGTAATCCACCAAACTTTTTCTTCTTTTAGCTTTTATAAAAATGTTTTCTTTTCTCAGAACACTTCCAGAATCACCACGGTGGCTGTATTCTCAGGGTCGAACGGAGCGAGCCGAAGAGGTAAATATATTCATACCTGCCAGGTCAGTTAGGTGATGGAAACGGCTGTGTATTCACACAAATATTCTTAAATCTGCTCTTTAGCAACTTGGGAATGTCAGCATTGTCTGTTAGCAAAATATATCCTGAAACACGGGTCAGAATCATGTGATACTCTTGAATGTACGTCTATAATTCATTAGTGTGCTCAGTTCAACATGGCCACCATTTCTCAGTCAGTTTTCCTGATGTTCAGCTAACGATGGTCTGGTTGTAGCTGAGAGTCATTCACAACACATTCAGTGCTAACACGTTTAACAGGCAGAAGGCAGCGTGTGATCTGCATTTCTTCAAGAAATATTGGATCTTTATTTATTAAAGGGATCCCCGATTAGGGGTAACACTACACTTTATTTGATAAACATTTATTTTAACTGTAAAATAAAGACTGTAAAAATACTGTAGGCTGTTTAGTTTTGTACATTTTTAAAAATATATTTTAACATGGACGGAGCCATTTTATTTACACACAAAGCATTCTGGGTAAATGATGATGTGGATAGATCATCAGATGCGAGGCTGTTACTGAGCTATATCCACCTTGAAGGTTAATCTTGAACAATATCTGAAGATCGACTCTTTTAAATGAAACCAGAGAGCGTTGAC